TTGTGTATGGGATCAGTAATTGGGGCAACAAACACGTCAGTTAGGAGCTTGAGCTGTAGGTCTCTCAGGGATTCCGAGGGGAGGTGTGGTCTATTTGCTTTATTATAGACCTCACTGTTAGGGATCCTGGAGATATAGGAAGCGGGGATTTTAAGAATTACCACTTAGGCTTATATAAGTTCTTGGTTTCACGGTTCTGACTTTCGGCATTTAGGGCCTATGACTGGCAGGAAATTATTCTAGAAGCCCCCAACTGAAGTGGCCCGCTCTCCAAGGCCGACGTGCCCCTGCTGTTGATGGGCGATTGAGACCCTGCATGAAATCATGTTGACTCTATCTATACCAGAAACTAAACTATCTGTACATCTATGATGGCCCGATGGCCGCAGCCCTGCGTCGCGAGTCTCTTCCCGCATTGGTCCAATCACAACTGGAACGCCGGCTCCAGACACCGTGGAAACCTCTTGCGGTTTGGGGCAGTAGGGCTGGTTTGAGGGATTGCCAGGCTTGCTGAAGCTCTGTTGGATGATGCTTACGAAAGTTGGGCTTAAAGGGTCAGCAAAACCTCACAACTTCTAAATAGGGCAACAGCAGGCGCAATTGACCCGTGATTTGACTGCCAGCAATACCAGAGCTCATACTGAAGATTAGCATGACATGTGCTCACTGGGTCACTGAATCGATGGAGTCCTGTGTCATCTTGCCTTGTTTGGTCGGGTCTGATTGCATCTACGGCTTTGTTTGAGTGTGCTGTCCGTTACACTCTGGCTGTATTTCCTTCACCAGTGTGTGCTGCACTGCAACACTGTAAACCATTCGTCGCACTGTGCAGCTTGGCTGCGTCTACGCCAACACGACAATTCCTCAGCTTCCGAAGTCGTACCACAGCTGAGTCGAGGTCAGTGGTGAGAGGTGGAGAGGGGAATGAGGATTCTAATCAAGAGTCTGCTTCTGGGTGGCCACAATGCCCTCCCTACTATCATCGCCAACAACCGTTAGCAGCAGTGGCGATTCTATCAGAATACTATAGCGAGGTATTAACACCAAACAGCTGCGACAACCTAATAGTGAAAGCACCTTCAACTCTGCAAAACGACAACGCTGCTCACCTCCCCCTCCTCCCGATGCCTTGAAAGCTTAAGAAGGAGTTGAAGATGCCGGCATTAGGATGTAGCCTCGATGCGCTCATACCTCGGCGAGCGCATTGGCATCTCGCAGGGCTCCCGGCGCTCCGGCGCGCGAGGCCGCCACGCTCTGTCTCTCTCGCTCTCTCTCTCCTGTGCTTGGGCCCGGGCAGTGCCTCCATCCTGGCGTTCTCCTCGGGGCTGCTCTCGGCCATGTCGTTGGCAACGGCCAAGTTGTAGTCATCGTCAAGCATGCCGTCCATGTCGTCGGCCAAGGTATTCTCCTGGGCCCTCCTCTTGGAAGAAATCATCCGGCTCTTCTCCTCCCTCAAGGAGTGTCGCAGGACGTCGGTCATGTGATCAACTGCCTCGGTCAAGCTCGGCTGAGCGTGCTTCTCCGGGTTAGTCAAGGCCACCTTGTGGTGGTTGGCCAAGGTCAGGGTAGCCTTCACGATGAACGGGGTCAGCATCTTGTGACCAGCTTCCTGCTGGACCTCCATGGGAACCTCATCGCCCTCCTCGTCCACCGTCACCGTGGTCTTCGGCACCTTGTCCGGGCGCTTCTCACGGTGGAAGTGTGGGGACACCTGCAAATGCACCTGTGCAAGGGCTCGGAGGAGCAGCTCCAATGGGAGGCCGAGTCTTGCGTGCAAAAAAACACCCAAAAAATAGCACAGAGAGACGCATAGAACCAAGCTCCCGAGATTCCTAGATCCCGACATGCTTGGAGCCAAGCGGCCTCCACGTGCCGGATCAGGTCCTCGAAGTTTTCAAAGGCACCCACCAGCTTGTCCTCGATGAACTTCCTGGCATTGCTCTCCTCGTGGAGGTGCTTGTGCTGCGGGAGCTGGGTGACGATGTGCATGGAGTAGGGCACCCGCTTCTCGGGCATCTCTGGCTTTGCCTCAACCTCTTCCTCCTCCTCCTCCAAGGGAATCTCCACCACGCCCCCCAACTTGTCCTCACTTGAAACCTACAAAGAAATGCAGACCTCAGGAAACCGAAATTCTGTAAAGAGTGGCTGCACAGCAGAAGGTCCTTGTTTCGGATGTTGCCGTGCATCTGCTTCCGGTTGAGGCCGCCCCCCGGTGGCGCGGTGTACGACTGGCCAGGGGAAAGGCTCCAAAGGGCAGCCGCCTCGCATCGAAGCAACTCCCAAGTGCGAAGAAAATCCCCTCGAACAGAGTGGAGTACTCGAGTCTAACGAGCGCAAGAGATGCAAGCCCGGCTACCAGGATTGCCAGCGCTGCCACGGATCGCTTGGGCGAGGTGCGGGTCATTGCTGGAGCCTCGGAAGCTCGAACTGGGCTTAGGAAAAAGCTCCTGGAGGCATCCGAGCGCGTGACAGGAGTCCGAAGGGACAGGAGGCCGTGAGAGGCTGGGACACTGGGATCCAAATGGCTGCGAATCATCAGGTGCCCTCTCCCTGTCGCCTTTGCCACTTCAGGAGCTTTGGACACCCTGCAGATTCCGTGGCCTCCCGAGCCAGCATCTCGAGGGAAGGCGGATCAATTCCCTTCTGGTTGATGACGACGAAAGTCCGGCCGTTCTCCTGCCACATGGCACACTGAGAAGTGCATCCTGAAGCCGAAAACCAAGCTTTGCGGTGTTGACATGCGGGCCATCCTCGGTGCAGACTTTCCGCTTGAGCTCCTGAAGAAGCTGACAGTGCAGCAGATAGTGATGTCAAAGAAGGTTTCCAGAATCCAGCCAAAGAACATCGGTATGGGCACACTGCACACTCTTCTAGCTGAACGATCTTCAAAAGAGCAGCACGACATCGCTGCTACGCAGCTCAAGACTAACTTGTGGGCTGTCAACTGATCCAGCAGAAACAGGACCTGACTGACCGTATAGTCAAGCCACGATGATTTTCTTCACCTTCTCGTCGGTGAACTTCCGCTCAGAACTGGCAGCGGATCATATTTTTTCTCCAGGCCCCTAAGTAGGCACTCTGAGACGGTGACGGACCCGGAGTCGCCGACAGTTGCAGCGAAAGCGTGGCAGGGTCACTCGACCAACTTCTCACGCTGCTCTGAGCTGCTGTAGAAGAAGCCGGCGTTCACCTTCACGATTCGGGCGCGAACCCAAGAACAGCCTCAACATGGGGGGTATCTTGTGCTGGCGCCTCGCTCTTCTCATACTCCAGGGACACGTTACACGTCAGAATGTAACCTCGGCTTGCAGCTTTTGAGCTGAAGTTATTCAGAGCCCCTTTGGCGGTTTGCATCTCCACAGAAAGACTGTCATTTTACTGCCGCCCTCAATCAAAGTTCACAAAGCCCACATCTCAAAAAAATCAAGACCCTCAACAACAGCAAGTAGGCCGAGTACAGTGCCGCAACTATCCGTGTTTCCTCATCGTCCAATGGCCCTCCGTTCCACGAGACTCCCATGCAGGCGTCTGTCAGCCCATCGACCCCACCCCCATCAACACCGACGTAGGATTGAAGATGTGTCGCTTGGCGGTTTGGGGCTTGCATTCAGATGGCACGACACTGGGAAAGTTGGGTTGTGGCATCTCGCGCTTGAGGACCTGGCAGTTCTCCAGCTTCTTCGGCATGTCCTCAGCTCCGCTTCAATCAGCACTTTCGCTGTGACAATCTTTACTCCTGAGACCATCAGGCTTTCCAATTTTATAGTTACCACCGACACTATCCTCTGTAACCTGTAATCACGCAAGACAAGATCATTATCACCAGCAGTGGTGGCAGCGCTGATGGTACTGGCGGTAGCACTGTGGTCGTAGCAGTAGCTGTAAGCAGTAGTAGTAGTCGTCGTCGTCGTCGGCGTCGTCGTGGTGGTGGTGATGTGATGACGATGCTCGTCATAGTCGTGCTGATGATGGTCCCGTGGCAACTTCGTGGTTTCGTTCTTCATGGTACATTTGTGGTGATCTTTCTACACATTGCTGTGCTTGGCTGCGGCACTGGTCGATAAGTTTATGACCATCTTTGCTCCCATTTGCGGCGGCGGCTGCTGCTTCTGCTGCTACTACTAGTACTACTACTACTACTACTACTACTACTACTATTACTACTACTACTACTTGTACTACTACTA